TGGTCAGGCAGGTAGAGATGGGGCCGAGAAGGCAGGTAGAGATGGGGCCGAGAAGGCAGGTAGAGATGGGGCCGAGAAGGCAGGTAGAGATGGGGCCGAGAAGGCAGGTAGAGATGGGGCCGAGAAGGCATCAGCAGAACACCACCCACCACCACGCGGCACCCATTTTGTTGTGTGTTTAGCTGTGGTTCGACTTACACTAGATTCACCCCAGATACTTCCATTTGCAGCACGCACACACCTCTACCACTAATGGGTTCTCTCAGAAAATGAAGCTTAGGTGAATAAATACACGACCTTCACAAAGATGAAGCAAAGAACCTTCCTGCAGTCATGCAAAGCCAGCACCTGCACATTATTTTTATAGTTAAAAAAGCATACAGAAACTAATTAGCCAGCTTTACAGCTTGCACACGTTCTGATTAACTTGTAACGTGTTTCATAAGGGTTTGGTACCCTTGAGATGTCATACAGTTTCTAACCCTAATGAAGCAGGACACCACTTTCCCAAAGGACTGAAGACAGCTGAATCCCTCACAAAATAGCATCCTGAATCAGCATCAGAGCTGTCATAGGAGGATTCCACTGTGAACTTTATGCTAAATTAGAATTAGTACAATAGCAAATATAGTAAGAGGTATTTATAATCAGTTTAATTCACTGCAATTTAAGGAGAAAAAAGCATTGAACCATGCAACTGCTGAATTCTACTTTCAAGGTGCTCACTACATTCCCTCCTTGTCTTATACACACTCAAAGTAATTCAGTACTGTCCTCAGAGGAGTTGGTTGACCACTTCTCAATCAATTCCCACACACCACTGAAATTATTGCAAGTTTGACTACAGAAACAGACTAGAAGGAGCTAATCTTGGTGTTCTGTCTTTTGCATAATGTAAAAATCAGCTACTAGGTATAAATAGTCAAGGTCCTGCTAAAGTATTTATAAGCATGAGAGCACTGAGATGCTCAGAATATCAGTGGGAGGAGGGCAGAAAGTATAAAATATTTATTCCTCTAAGTATTTGAAATAACCTTAGGATCCTAAAGTTTGTTGCTGTTTGTGACTTGCACACATAATAAATGCTACATACCCCAAGGTAGGCTTGAATTGCCTTGTGTTCCCAATACAACGCCAGGTTGGTAAGGTTGACCATTTTATTCCTTCTTGAGGAAGTGAACCATTCCCTGTGCTTCCTACTCCATTGAATAGAATCAAGGAGGAAGAAAGGAAGAAAGCACTTCCTTAGGTCTGAGTATTCCTGTTTAAGGGCAACTTTTTTTTTTTTAAACCGTTTTCTTAAAAAGTTCAATGACACGACCATGAGTGCTGTCTTATAAGCCCAAACTCACAGGTTCCTGAAAGGCAGCTGACGAAACAGTCATGTTATGAAGCAATTAATTATCAAAGATCTTTGAATGGTGGCCCAGAGCTGGATTAGAGAAAGATGCATTTGAAGAGAGAACTGCAAAACCAAAAGGACACAGATGAGAAGTCAAAACTAGGGCAGAGGGGCAGGCAGCATCATGGCACCCTGCATACACAAACCTCTCATAGGCTCATAACCCGTTTCCCAGCTGTCAGCAGGCAACCTAACCAAAAAGCCAGCAAGCATGCCAACCAGCAGCTCAGACACCTGGCAAGATGCTGTTGCTGCTGGAAGGAGATATTTCTAAGGCTCAGCTTCTGTCTGGTATGGCCGTGAAACGTGGTACAGCCACACTGACAGCTAGTGCTTCAGTGCTGGAGAAGAGAGGCAGAAAAGAAAATATTCAGAAAAACAAAGACTTAAAAATACTGCTGAGTAAGCATCACTGTTAAGGGTTGTTTGTTTTTTTTTTTAATATATATGGTAATTTAACTTAATAAGAACAGATATACCCCATTAGTATTCCCAAACATAAAGCATGATTAAACCATTGGGTTATCTTTAGCCTCCACATTCGTAATGAAGAATCAATGAGCAGTACACCCCTTCCAGCACTTTCAAAGACGGAAAACCAGTCCTCATTCATACTGACTGAGACATCAAAACGTGTGGCAAGTGTTCATATGCTGAGCAGTTCCACAGAGCTTTAAAAAGCTTCAGGAAATAAAGAGTAAAAATGACACACACACTTGCTTCCAAAATTAACATACCCAACGAATTCTATCATTTTACACTGAACTAGATATATACACATGTGTAAAATGCAGTGTTTGGCAGAATTTTTGAAGCAGAGAATTGACTTCAGCAATTATTCTCACTGAGAACAACTATAAATAAGGATTCCTCTATTTTTTTCCCCAAAAGCCTTTCTAGTAAATTAAAGAGTAACAATGTTGGTGTACCTTTTCAAAGAGTTCTTATCATAGTAGCAAGCAAGAAATTGGAAAGCACCTGTCAGTTATTTGAAAGAATTATTTTCTGCTAGCATCAGAAGCAAAAATAGTTTTCATTTAATCTTGAAGCGTTTAGAGAATTTTTACAAGCGGTATCATAAAATTTAGTTTATCACCTTAAAATAAAGGGAAAGAAAGAAGCAAAACAGTGTTCCCAAGTGTTGTATCTACTTCTCTGAGTATTTAATGTTTTACCCAAGAGTCCCAACATTTTTCAGGCAGATGATGAAAGTCATATGGAAAACAAACAACAACAAAATCTAACAACATAAAACCTGAGATTCTCCAAGTCTCTAGTCCTCAGCTGTGGGGGAAGTACCAAAAACTTGAATTGTAAGCAGCCAAAGTAAATAAACCCACCTGAATTAGCTTCTGAAATTGCAGTACTTCAGTTTAAAGCACAAAACATGACATTAAACAGATACTAATGCAAGTCTTGTAAAAATCTACAAGTTCTATAGAAACAAGGTAGCACTTGCACAAGCCACAATTTTTCACCGCTATAAGCTTTTGCACTTCCTACAGGAACTTAGGACTTTTGTAGTCTGCATTTAGCATGCTATGAGTACCAACAGTTATTGTACTACTAGAGTAAGAGGTACTTTAACTGGCCTTATTTAAGAGTCCTCCAGCACAACTTTTATCATTATAAGATCTAGAAAAACAAAACCTATCGTGACCCATGCACAAATGAAATATTAAGGCCAAGTGACTTCTACACTTTGGTCAGAATCAACAGTGAAAGAAACTCAGTTCACAGGAATATTGTTGAATATGACTTTAAACAGACATTCATGGATACACGCGTGCATGGAAGCTCGGTTCTTTAGGAACAGAAGGTATAAGTGTTTTCTAAATGTTTCAAAACTGAGATTATATTAGAAAGTAAGCAATAAGAACTGTAAGTCAGCTCTTTCTCAGCCTCACCAAACCAATTTAGCTTAAATCCAGCACAGAAAGAGGAAGGTCCACCGAGATCCCACTCAAGCATAATAAATAAGACTGATAAATACCTTTGCTAGGGACAGAAACATCGGGTAGGGATAGAACCTGGCACACAGACTACGATAAGCCACACAGCTCTACCCCTTCTCAGCCAACTCAGTATTCCACAGGCACACAAACACGCAGCCCACACGGTTTGGGCATAAAGCCTTTAGCTCTTAGTGACAGAGAGCTCATTGCCAAATTTATTTCTTCCTTCTGCCAAATGCTACCCCTCTCTTTGTGTTTACTCATACACCAACTTCAAAGGAAAAGCCCTCCTTTTTAATAAAGGAAAGGTCAGCTTGTTTATGCAGGAGGTTTGTTTTGTTTCTAAATAGTTATCCATTATGGTTACAACTTCAATATCAATTAGTCTGGAATAGCAGCAAACCTGAAACATTCATCCCATAAAAGTTTACTTCTGACACAAAACAGCAAAAGCTCGCCTACTTTCCAAAATGCTTGTAATCCTTAAATACCCACACGCAACTAAGATACACAGAAAAACAGTCTTACCTTTTTCTTCGAAGAAAAACAACCAGGCACACCAAACAACTGTTCCAGAATTTCCTTGTTTCACGGGGTATGAAGCACCTTCAGCAGCAGCAGCAAACCCTTAACTAAAACCTGAGCCAGCCTGTACGGCACAACTGCGTGAGGGATCACTGAGCACGCAGCACGGATCAGCAGGTATTTCATAAAGCTGCACTGCAACTGCCTGTTGCACTGTCCCAACACAACACTCCCTAACACTGCGGCACGTGAGTGGAGCCCTAAAAGCAGTAAATTGGTTTCCTGCTTCTTTAACTGATTGACTAATTAAGACCATAATCAGTAAACTATTTACACATGGAGACAAGAACACCTGAAATTTCTGACTTCTCATTTTGTGACCTTGTCTGTATAAAGCAAATAGAAAATGTATGGTACTTTGAATTTTAATCAGTATTTCTAGTAACACATTCAAGAATAAGTTTTTTTTCCTTTTCACAGAGGAACACAGAAATTCATAACTTATTCAGTGAAGATTCCTTGCTAGCACTCCAGAGCATACCATTCTGTCAAAAATCCAGGACCAAACCGTTGTCTAAGATTCTTTTTTCCCCTCTTCTGGATTCACATTAAAAAAAAAGCCCACATGGGTATACACCCCACTATTTATTCAGCTGGATTCTCATACTGATCTTGCAGAGTAACATGCAAGTACAACGTAAGTCAAAATTAACTGTTCCTTCACACCACATGGAATTTTATAAAATCCTAACATTAATTAAACAAACAGTAGCTTTCTGCACCAGTTCATAGAGCAGAGCGGTCTTACCATTTGACAATTAGCAGTATCACCATTACCAGAAAATCTGAACTTCTTGAAGAAAGTGAATAAATTAAAACTTTGTCTTCTTACTCCAACATACAAAATATTTTCAACTCTTCCAATACAGTACACATTGAAACTCGTTTTTCTAGAAGGCTGAATAGCTGATTTCAAGCCATTCACAAGACACCATATTTGAAAACTATTTTTCCCTTTCTAGACTTAATCCATCTCCTTAGGAATAACATTCTCTCACTAAGAAGTAGAAATCACCTTCCAAACATTTAATTATAATTGGAAAAAGATTATAAAATACAATGTTTTATTGTACTTGGAACTACAGAAACGTATTCAGTTTTTCCATTTCCTTCAAACTCGAGAAAAAGTAAAAAGCAAAACAAGTGACAACGAAAACTAACAGATGTATGAATTACTTCCATCAATTAAGCTTGAAAATTCAGAAAGGATTTCACCAGTTTGCAGGTGCCATTCCCCACAGAAGTGCTGCATTCCTAGAATGAACTAATGCCCTTCAGTAATACAGAAAGTCAGTCACCTAGGCAAGGCGTGGCTTACAAGAGACCAAGGATTAGCATCTCCGAACACTGGAGTAAGCTGAAGCATTTTGGATCCTCTGTCAATTCAGAGCTCATCGTGTTTTGCAGGGTCCATACTGGGTTTGATGAAGATTCCTTCCATTGCTTTCCAATAGTTGTGATGATTAGCAGTAGGCATGCCATGAACTTCCCGTTGGCCTCTAATGGGATGGCCATACTGTTCCCCTGTTATTGAAAGGAACACCTCTGTTCCTACGTGCTTGAAGCGCACTGCATCCTCCCGCTCCCAGTAAGTCCCACTGCATTGCACAATCCATATATCGAGGTCATCTCCTTCGCCATCATCACCAAAGGCACTTACTTCCTGTTAGAGACAGAAATTTCCTGAAGTGAACACGTAAGCAAACACCTCCAATACACACACACAAAAATATCAACACATATCCAGCAGAGTTTAAAGGCAAGGATAGAGAGGAAAGAAAAAGTGCAACATCAAAGTTATCAAATCCAGAAGCAGTAATTTTCCACTACGACAATCTGAACGTAAAGCACCAACAAACTCCAACATGTAATTTGAGCAAAATGCGCCAACGAACCACCACATACACTACAAATGAAATGAAAGAGAACTTGAGCACAGAGATCAAAACAATCCTTCTGAGAAAAAATTTAAAAGAAACAACTCTAATGCTGATGCAAATTTTCCCCACTCAGAAAACTTTGTAACTGTAGACATTTAGTTTGTAGTACGACCACCTTCATAGTTAACATTGCAACACTTTGTACCTAGCAACCTAAAATTTCAGGGTCGTGTTAATTCAAGTTTATGCAATCCAAAAAGTGTGAAAGACAACATAGGAATTGAAAACCCAACTTCTGTTAAGAATATGAAATACAAGTTTGTGTTCATAACCACATCATATTTCAATAATGTCACAGGTCACGGTCCTGTCAGTCTCTGGGAAGTCATGTACGCTTCCCTTTTGCTTAGATATTCTGCAAACCCACAGCAAAACCAAAGAAACACCATGACAGCTGCTGAATATTTTTACATTAATAACAATGTTATATAAATTGTCTAAACTGACAAAGGAAAACTGGGAGAAGGTCTTAGAGTCAATCTGTTCCTTAAATAATTATTCTGAAATGCTATTTTTCCATCATTCCTTTTGTTTTAATAACCAGATTGTCTAGATATCCTACACAAAACTGGACCTTATTGTTTCAGCCACTTTACTAATGGTAAAAGACAAAGCTTTTTCTCAAAGAGTCAGGTCTTGTAACTTTAAATGTAATGACCTATCTACAAAGCCTGAAGGAAGACTAAAATGACTACTAATGGCAAACTTCCGTCACGTTTGCAATATTTATTTCAAGAGAGATTTTTCAATCTCAGAGAAGCATTTGTTCAAAGACAAGACTGGGACCTAATTACAGTTAGAAATTACATTCTTCTAGACATGTACAAAATGATAAACAAATACGATTGTAAGAGCAGATTCATTTTTCCTGTGGAAGGATGACAGATAAATAAGAATAGTGAACTAAAATAGGGATAGTGAGAAGATAACTGAGATGAATAGAGTGGATCACCAAGGAACTTGGACAGAGGAATGCCTGGTGTTGTAACACATGATTAGTTGCCTTGCACTAGAGCAATCTTCACAATGTTGAGGGAGGTGCCCAGAGTCCTACACCTTGAAAGTGCTAAACAGTCCAGAACAGTCTTCCCAGTAGCAATGGTGCACAATTTAAAAAAAAAAAAAAAAAAAAAAGCATATTTGTTAAAACTACTGTGAAATACCAATACTGGTACATATTAAATTTTATCTCTGTCAAAAACTTAAACACATTATTCCAAGGTGCAGAAAAGTACATATTCGAACTCTGGGCACGCACAGACATACTGTTTCTGGCAGCTGGCACCCAAGCCTGATCCTTTAAAAACATGAGAAACTGCAGAGACCATTGTCAATAGCATGCACTATTTATACAAAATCTTAAGATTTAAAACAACTCACTTGATTATTGGAGAGCGGTGATGGGAAGTGATGAGTGTGTAAATTTTTTCCTGTGTTAACATGGGTAAGTCGTATAGCTTGCCCACATTTCACCGGTGTCCCACGCTGGCAACTGCCATCACTCTTCCCACGAATCCGCCAGTAACTGTTAGCATCATCTGAAGCTTCAACTCCTGTCACTGACTGTTGCCCACTTCCTGTTTGAACAGAATTAAATGGCAGGAGACTTAACCCACTTCCCCAGTTCAAAAAGTCCTGAAAGAACTACAGAAATTTACTCTAATGTTCTCATGTCTTAATGTTTAAGATATGTTTAATTGTCATGGTCCATTTATTGACTACAGTGGTAATGCAGGTAACAAATAATCTTTCAGACTGAAGAAGCTAAACACACCATGCGTTAGTGGATGCAAACTGTCAAAGTTCATGGTGAACGCATGAGAAGGGAATCTGATCCATGACGGATACTATTCACACTGTCCCACCTTTCTCAAGAACACTATCAAATTCTTTGTGTCCCCAAACAAACCAGCACCCTCGCTGCCAGAACAGACGCTGGGAAGGTATTGCTGAGGCCCTGGATACAGAACAGGGCTCACCTCAGGGATGAGGGCAAAGCATCCGTCACACCCCCACTCCAGGACCTCCGGAGCACAGCTGCAACATCTTCCCGTGCCCCAGGCCTCGGCATCCTCCTCTCCCTGCCGGGCTGCCAGGTCTGCAGCGCACCCCACAGCCCCATCGCTGCCCTGCTGCTCCCTCTGCTCCAGGGACACGACCCTCAGCGACCTCCTCGTCCTTCCCTGCTCCCCCTCACTGCCCGTTCCCCCCTCCCACCATTTCTCTGCCACCCCGCCAGCTCCCCGCTGTCCT